GAGTTCCATCTGTCAGAGGATTGAGCCTGAGCACGCTCTGGCTCCGCCCCCTTCAGAGACTCGGGTGTAAGGTAACCACGGCGCCCTCAGTGGGGCCACCATCTTTGTATTTGGATGCTTTTATGACGCAAACACGATGCAGAAAAAATTGAAGTGAAAGAACCGAAACGCCTCGTCATCAGTGATGTCATCAATAATCCCAAATCTGTGGTGGAGACCGGTGCGAGGAAGCGGCGTTTTTCTGTGCAGGTGAAGGCGGAGTCAGGCGGAGGTGGACGTGGTGTAGACGATGAGAAAGCGTTTTATCTGTAACACCATCAGCGCTGCTCTTCCTCCCACATCCACCCCTCCGCCTGCTGCCCTCGCGTCATCGCAGCACCAAACACAACCTTTGATGACATCACTGAAGTGAGCAGGTAACCAGGTGACATGATCACCTGGTTACCTGCTCAGGTAACCGGTCTGTACGGCTCGCCGAGGTCGTGGTCATTCATGTATTTGATCTGATTGACGGTGTGTTTCTTTCACAGCTCCAGGCCCAGAAGCTCCGCCTTGCCAGGAGTCAGGGGCCGTACTACGGCGGCTCATTACCAAACGTGAACCAGATCGGCAGGACCCCTCAGGACTTCCAGGTAATCGACTGCACTTTCACCCTGATGTCACTTCCTGTTTCTTTTCTTGTCGCAGGTGCAGGTCAGCGAGCGTCAGAGTATCGCTCGATCTCTGCTGATGTGATGGAGACGCCTGTTTGTGTAAATGTTACTGCGTTTGAGTATCGGAGTGATCGATATAAGGTGGAAATAAAGGCGGGCTGAGGATGGCGCCCTGTGGGACTCCTGCAGAGCGTTTAAGGCGGTCTGATGCTTTCGGTGGTTTGTGTGTGATCAAAGCCACAGACGTCGTCGCCTCTCATCCGCTCAGTTTCTCTTTTGGTTTGACTCTTTGCTCCTGATCGTATCTCTTTACTCGTGTTTTAATGTTTGTTTCCTCCTGAAAAGAGAAATGAGGAAACATCGCTCTGCCTTCATCAGTGTTACTGATTGTTTTGTGACGAGGAAGACGATTGGCTCTCCTTTAGTCTGGATTCAATCAGGCGCTGGGTCTCTGCTGTGAGCTCCAATCAGACGTGTGCAGCAGGAGTTAGAAAGCCGAGTCATCATCTCTGACTCATCACTGTTTCCATCACACTCTGTAATGGCGCCGTTTGTGGCTCCTCCTCTGCTGCAGAGGAGCTGAGCGTGGACAGAGCGTCTCTCTGGTGTTTCCTCCTGTGGGTCTGATGCAGATGGCCGATCCCACATTAAAGGGTCTGGTCTGCGACGCAAACAGACACAGGTAGCCTGCAGAAGCTCCACCCCCTGATCCAACGGGGTCTCTGTCGTGTGGCTTGTTGACGCCCTCCTGCAGCTGCTGATCCTCTGATCGAGGAAGGTCTCGCCTGCTCGGGGCTCTCCGGTTCTCCCCCGGGGTCGTGCGGTGAACTCTGGGACCGCGGTTGCCCCGGGACACGAGCTTCGCTTTGCAAACAGCCGTTGGTCCCTACAGGCTGAGCTCGCCGCCTCATCTTTGTTCAGTTTATTTGAATTATACTCGAAGATCAGACAAAAACGCTGTTTCAATAACTGCAACATGTCAGTGAATCAGTCTCTGAGTAAATATCTGAGATTACAAATACTGAGCAGAGTAATCCTCATCAGGTCACATTATTATGGGCTTTTATTTTGAAGTGTTTCCTGTTTCCTCAATATTTACAGGTGTGGAAATGATGCTGACTCTGTCTCCCCTCTCTCTGTCTCCCCTCTCTCTGTCTCCCCTCTCTCTGTCTCCCCCCTCTCTGTCTCCCCCCCCCTCAGGGCTCCTTCCCGTCCACGCTGGAGTCCAGTCGGGCGACGCGGCATCACGGGCTGGTGGAGCGAGTGCAGAGGGACCGCCGCTTCGTCTCGCCGGTCCGACCATATCGCAAAGTATCCTTCAGTTTACGCGAGGCTCCCTGTCTTATTCCAGATTGTTCCTGTGCTCCTGACTTCCTGTCTGTCTGTTTACTTCCTGTAAAGACTGAAACCTCTCGGGAACTATTTTCAGCAGCGGACGACCAAAAATCTGCAGCAGCAGCTCCAGGATGGCGTGTGGAATAAATCAGTGTGTGTCGTGGTGGCGGAGGATGGCGTGTCAGCTGACAGTGAGCGTTTAGAGATTTCGGCGTGGCGGTAAAATCCAGCAGTGGTGCACTCCTCCTCCTCTGTGGTCGCAGTGATGCATCATTCAGTGTTTCAGCTTTTAGGATAACAGGAGACAGGAAGTGCAGGAAAGGCGTCGGGCAGCGAGCTCACAGATGTTGATGCTTTATTGGACGGGTCGTTTTTGTCGCGCTCTCTCAGTCGTCCTCTGCAGAGCGTCGATGGGGCGAGGGGGCGGAGCTGATGTGTGATCGCGTTGGAATCGTTGAGTTTGTGTCAGCAGTGAAAAAGTTGCTTGTGCAGGCGCGCTCGTCTCCACACTTGGAGCTCCTCCCATCTGACAGAAGTGCGACCTTTGACCTTGGTTTGAGTAAGAAGTTGTGGTGAAGCTCTGAGTTCTTCAGACTGCGAGGGCGAGAGTTCAGAGTTCATCCTCCGCTCGCGTCCTGCAGCTTCAAACGCCGCAGAAACGCCGATGATGAATCCGAAAACTTACAAATAAGTTTAAAGAAAAAACGACGTCGGGCGGTCGGGGTTAACGTGTCCTAACAGGGCGGGGTCATTCAAACCCGCGAAGCGACACAGGTGAGTTTCTACAGGTGGACGGTTCAGCCGTGCAGCAGGTCAGCGCGGCGTCGGCGCCATCTGAAGCTCGTTTAGCTCCTGATACTGAAACTGATGAAGCTCTGTGCTTTCCTTAACCTGCTGCTTCCTCAGATGGACAGCTCCCCGTACAGCCCCGCCTACCTGTCGCCGCCACCCGACCCCAGCTGGAGAAGGTGCTGTCTGTTAACCCCGCCCCCGCTCTCCCCGCTGTCTGTGTGTCTGTGTCTGTCGTTTCGCTCCTGCTTGCTGTTCCTTCCTGTAGCCTCGGCGTCGCTGCAGTAAAACCTCGACGCTCCTCTGAGGTCAGGAGGAGATGAAGCTCCGCCTCAGGCTGTGAAGAAGACGCTCTGCTGCAGCCTGACCCGTGAAGAACATCTGTACACAGATGTTCTGTGATCGTGACGAGCCGATTCCAGACCTGTGTTCCTCCTGCTCTTCTTCTTCTTCTTCTTCTTCTTCTTCTTCTGGAATCTTTGGTTCTTTCTTCTTGGCTTCTTCAGCTGCTTCCTGCCTTCTTTCTGCGTTTCCTTCAGAGGGAGGCCGGCTTCCGAACTCCAGGTGTCCTATAAGCTCCGCCCCCGCAGGTTTCTGCCACTGACTGGTTTCAGGTCTGCCTGCGCTCGCTCCACCTCCTTTGTAGGAGCACGACGGCGCGGTCAGGTTGGGGGTCTGAGCACAAACTACGGTGGCCCCCGAGGTGATAACGCACTCAGAAAAAACCACAACAAAGCAGGAAGGGTGCGTGGGCGGGGCGGTTAAAGGTCACGCTCAGATCGGCTCCAACAAGCCTCCAGCTGAGCTGACCCCTCCCCGCCGCAGGCGGAGCGTTACGAGGACTGAAGGAGTCGCGGGACCTGAAATCTTCCACGCGAACGCCACCACAGGGAGTGAAAACCACGTGGGAGAAGCTCGCCGCTCGATCTTCATCCGCTCGGGTTTGTTTGGCAGCTCAGGGCCACCGTACAGCCGGACCCGGCAGCTCGAGGCCGCGGAGCCTCCCTCTCTGTTTGGCTTGTTTGTCTCTGAGCCTTCTCCTCCTCCTCTTCGTCACCCTTTGACTTTGCTGCTTCCTGCTCGTCAGACCAAAATAACTTTGTTTTTGTCGATCATAAAGGAATTGGTCTGGAAACTTCCCCGGGGATAAAAGCCAGTTGTTTCGTCTCCCCACCACTGCACTCAACAGGTGAACCCTCCTCCTCCTCCTCTTCCTCCTCCTACCTTCACTTCCTCCTCCTCTTCCTTCCTGCAGCTGTAACCTTCACAGTGGACTTTCACAAGAATTAGATCTTTCGATGCTTCAGACATTGAAGCTTTCTTCCTTCCTCGCTCTGCCCGATGCTGCTCGTGAAAACTTCTGACCTCGGGTGCAGCAGCTGCTGTCACAGGTCAGAGGTCATGTTGTGCAGCTGTTTGCAGTCAGAGCGAGCCTTCTACGGAGAGCCAAACGTGCCAAAATCACATTAAACACTCCAATATTTCCTCTTATTGCCTGTTTTTACTTCCTGTGAGTGTCGGTTAAACATCAGGCCCAAGTAAACGGATCAGAGTGACTCCACTTCATGTTTTGTTGGTTTTTAAAGACAAATTCATTTATTTTTGAGTCGTTTCTTTTCATTTTGGCATTTTTGTCTCTCCGTAGTTCAAAGAGCGTTTCTTTGGCGTCTCATCTCTTTGTTTCACCCTCGCTAACCTTCACCTCCTCCAAGCCTGTGCTCCTCTCTCTCTCCCCCTTTAACTCTCTGTCGGTGTCTCTCGCCCCTCAGGACCAACTCCGACTCAGCGCTCCACACCAGTGTGATGAACCCGCCCTCCGGAGACCCGTTCAGCACTGGCGGACCCACGCTCGCCCTCCAGAACGCCAGAATGGGCGGTGAGTGAAACCGAACGCAACAAGCCAACCGCTGCGTCAGTCAGATTCGAACAGACGCCAGCACAGGTGTACGTTATCAGAGACTTGAAAGACGGTCCGTGTTCAGGGCGCGAAGCTTCAAACATGTTGGAAAGTTAAAATGAAACAGCAGGATGATCCTTTTTAATAATTACAGGAAAACATTTAAATCCAGCTTTGATTGTAACGGTGATGACCTGAGCGGACACGTTTCAGTGATTCAGCATGTTTGTAATCACCTGTGTGTGTGTGTGTGTGTGTGTGTGTGTGTGTGTGTGTGTGATGCTGCAGGTCAGAGCGACGGAGAGGGCAGAAGAAGTGAGTAACGCACATTTATCCTACGTCCAAAGGTCAAACTTCCTGTCACTGATCAATGACTGTGGATGTCAATAGAACAGAAATATTGTTTGTTGTCGGGCAGATTAGCATCTTTACAAAAGTAAAGACCAATGAGAGACTGTACAGGGCAAACATGAGAAGGATGCTGCACAGTTATCATGCAGCTAGCAGGATCATATTGTGCTGTATGTTTGTGCAACAATGACAAATGCATGAAGGACGCCAGCTTTTCCCTCCTTGAGCTTTTCACATTAAAGCGTCACAGCCCTCCTCTCCACGTGAGAGTCACAGTGTTTTATGTCCCTCAGTGTTTCCGTATCCTGTCCCGCCCATCGAGGAGAACGTGTTGGACGAGGGGAAGCTGATGAAACCCTGGGACACCAAGAAGGTAAAACCCACAGAAACACCAACTGCCTGTTTCACCCTTACATTAAATATTCACATTTATATTAATTTCTCCCTCCAATCTCCATAAATGTCCTGAGAGTATGCGAAGGACATTTCTCACTAGTTTATGGAAGTTAGATGAGTCAAAATCTCATTATCATCCTGACACACAGCTGCTGCAGGGTCCGTTTTAGAAACATGTTGACATCTTAAGTTAGGTGTTTTTAGCTTGTTCTAAAGTTTACTCAGTGGTGTTTGATGCTTCTGAGTCATTTCTGTTATTCTGGATTTTTCTTTCCCAGCTGCCGTTGTTGTCATCCCGGCCGAAGTCCTGCGAAGTTCCCGGCATCAAGTAAGTCCCAAAAAGCTTCTGTTAATTCAATTCAATTTTAATTTATTTAGCACCAAATCACAACAAAAGTCGCCTCAAGGCGCTTCATAGATATGATATGGTACTACAAGGTCATTAAGATAAGATGGGGCCTGATTATTTAAGACCTTGTATGTGAGGAGCAGGATTTTGAATTCTGGATTTAACAGGAAGCCAAAACAGGAGAAATCTGAACTAGTTTTTCAGCGTCACTCTGAGACAGGATATTTCTAA